AATTGCTGAGCTGTTGCAGCCCGGCCTTGTTTGGGTGATCTCGCTGTATGGCGGACAGCCCTGGCTGCGGACCTGCTGTATATCACTATCAACCCATGTTTCAGTTCGGAGCAGGCATTGCAGAGCTTCAATGCCTGTATATACGAAAGAGGTATCGAGCGGTGCCTGACAAGCGTTCATCCTGGATGCGAGGCTGTGCCTCCGCGGAAATCTGCAGGTTCATCTGTGGTGTCGGGAGATGTGTTGGATGACCTGCCGGCGAGTAATTATGATCCCGTGGTACATCGTTCGATCTCATGCTCATACTTGAAGACTAGTTCCACAGGGTGGGCGGGGGCATTGATCTCCGAAGGTTCAAAGCTATGAAATTTGCGCATGCATCAGCGACACGTGCATGTCGGTGTCTGGACTTCTCCCCTTGGCCGATTCCCACCAGGATGTGCAAGGTCTTCCTCAGGAATCTCAGATTATCGGCCGGTATCACACCTGCCTCCCGTTCAGCGCAACACTATCCCAGAGAATAGGCCTGAGGTTGACGCAAAGTAATCCCTCCAGGTGGCTGATAACTTCCCCTACACCGCTCGTCAGTTATTTCTCAATCTATTCAGCTATGGCGCACTTATCTTCAACGGAGGGCGGGCATTCAGCACGCAACCTGTACACACTCCGGGCGAGATCAGCCAGGCGTGGAAACTGCAAAGTTCCAGCCAGAAGCTAGTTTGGCACCAATACAGAGGCCCACACCTTGCCCTTGCCGGGAAAGCTTCTGGGGCCCAGGGAATCTCCGAGTTATTGTTGCCGCTGCATGCAAGGCGCAAGAAGAGTGGCAGGTCATCGTAGAAATGAGGCCGAGACTTGACTCCACCGGCTGCTATGTAACCTATGCGAGACCAGCATGATACAGCTTCGAGTACAATTGAGACCTCGAGTGTTCTGCGGTCGCATTCGTGCCTAATAGTTGGGTGACTCGCGGCATCGATCTGATGACTTGCAATTCCTGTCGTTCAATGGAAGAGGGGACGATAAGGTTTCGTCACCACTCAGAGCAACCCAGGGTCTGGTCGCTCCATGTGAGTATTCGTCCTTTCCAACGTGAGGGACTTATCTTGACAGCTTGGCCTATGTCGGCTTCACTACGTCCTTCCCCCAGGTCTCCAACATCCGGTGTCAACGAAAAACTGAACGGGGTGGGAAGCCTGAATCAGCCTACGCTCGAAACACGACGATCAAATACAACGCAACAGCGGTGGTCTTGTGGCTCCTCGGTACCTGGCGACTCTGATGAGTGCTATAAAGTGATTCATACTGGTCAGCTCACCACGGCAACTCTTTCAGTTACTTCCCCCCCTGACCTCGTCCAAACTCATCTGTATGGCACCCCATCCTTTCGTTGACTTCTGCAACAAGCTGGCCAATGCATACGAGTACGCTTTGCATGTGAGTGTCACCATCCATTAGCAGCGCCCGTAGCAGGGACGCTCAGACGAGAGTCCACCTGCAGTAACGGAAGTAACTGGGTGGGATGCGTCGTGGCATCTAGAGATGGCATTCCCAATCGGCCTGAGCTGTAATAGCTCAAGTTCGTTGCGGTCAGGTCGTCGCAGGGATCAATAGGAGAGGGGGTTTCAACGCAGATTCAAGAGCATTACTCGCAGTGCGGGAAGTCATCGGAGGACCCTTGTAGCCGGCGACGACCTCTGCTACAGTGGACGGTGCTAACTCAAGGAAGGAGTATGTCACGATACCGGGTCAGCTTGATGTCTCGCTTGCTTGAGCAATGGAGGAGCTCAAGGTCTTACGGTGGGTGGCTAGGGAAGACGTCTGGGTGTAAATCTGGGTACCGGGGTTGGTCAAGCGCGGTACAGACCCTGCTTGCGGTACTGAGGAAGGGCCTTCCTGCGGCGTCCTGTGACCATGCCTCTCCGCTCCACCCACACCCCCCTTTCCAACATTATACACAGTCCAGGACATGCTGAACGGTATCTCATCCCTTCTGTCCAGGAGGATACTGCGTCTCTGGCTCCCTTCAGGGCACGTAGTTTTCCTCTGCATTCATCAACATACCGCTCTTGCGCAGAGCAGGCCGATTTATTTGTTCTAGGGAATCGATCACTTCATAACACGCATGAAATTCGCTTGCAAGTGCATAATGTACGGGCAAGGCCACTGGTCACTGCGGTTCAAGGGACGAGGCGGCTGTCAAAGGGCGGGCGGGCGGGCGGGCGAGGATTCTGGTAACATTCGTTGCTCAGACTGGGTTGTCGGGCCACGACGGTAAAAGGACGCTTGTAGACGGCAGAAACCCCCGAATGCATGAAATGGAGATGACCCAATATCTGATGCACAGTTGTGGCGGACTCCTATCCCGTGGGTCGCCGTTACAAAGATGAATCCAAATACGCTAATTCAGAATCAGGGGATGAAGTCTCGTGTATGTGGTCCAGATTGTTCATCGCATAGCGGCATAGCCACGATTGTGCTGAGCCTCACCAGACTCTGCTGTGAGCTAATTTTCTCAAGTCTTTCAACGCCTCTATCTCATAGCGTGGCCAATCCGATAAACCTAGGGCTATTCATGCGTTACTGCGATCAAAAATACCTTGGAGAATATTACGCCGCCTTTTGGCCGTACGCTGCTGGTGGTTGTTCAGGGGAACAAAGGCAAGCTATTCACCCGTCGAGACACTCCCAATCGCTATGATAAATATATCGAATCGACCAGCTATAATTCTTCCTCCTACTATCTTCGTCTATTTAATTAACTTTCCTATCGCAGCCCTAGACGCTTTTATTGCCTTTCTCGTTTACAAGGCCGTTTATCTGCGCAAGAAACCCTGACTGACCTAGGTCAGTATCAGCGATCTGCGTCTCACTTTTGCCATATTGAGGGCCAATTGAGCCAGGACCAATCCCAGGGCCGTCGACTTCATCAACAAACCCACAAACCAAGTACCCTTTCTATTTACCCTAGCGTGGCGCCTTATCAACGACATGTTGACTAAAGCACATCGTGACCTACTGTCACTCCAAATGCCGTATGAATCACATATCGAGGCGATTGCGCTTGTGGCCGATCCTAACAGTCTCACAGATTTAAAGGCTCAAGATCGCAGGTCGACATTATCTGCCCTCCATATCTAAAACACCTACAAGGCCCGAGACTGTCGTCGTAGTCCACTCTCTGACACCCGATATGCCTTCGGTACGTGCGCCATAGTAAACATTTGCATTGGTCTCAGCTGATATATGTTGAAGCTCCCGGATATCAACGTCGAAGCGCGCATCCGACAGGCTTGCACGTTAAGAGATGAAGATCCATCGCCGTTCGTCACACCGTCCGTAGGTAGAAATATACGCAATGTACTGTACATGTCTATTCACTCAGGTTCAGTTTGATCAAGGATCGTCCTCCTGCGAGTGCCAAATTTGCAACAGGAAACTCAATAACGATGGGAAAACATGGGAAAGACACATCAAATGCCAACTTCATCTCAAACGCACCGCCGAACGCCTGGGAGTACCTCTCCGAACCCTTTGTGATGTTACACTGTGCACTATGGGCTGCGGGCGAAGGTTGGTAAATTCTGTTGATCAAGAAGCCGTGGGACTTACAATGCCATACCGTCCTAGGTTCGCCGATACTACTCGACCGGATGCTGTGAAACGCCACCAACAGAGCACCAAGTGCAAAAGGGACCGGGCCCCTAACGAAGCTACCGGCGGACCGGAGCGCACCAACATCATCACGCCCATCGCCAATTCCATGAAGGTCGCTACCGCTGACCAGCATGGTATGGGACAGTATTACCATGAACATACCGACTCAATGCATGCTATACCGGATGTGATAGACCATATGGTCGCGAACGCCTCTCACGCTGTCATCGACGCCGTGGAAGAACGTCTCCTCTTTGACTACAGCTGGAAGGACTCAACTTTATGGCCGAATGAGCCCTCAGAAGCGAGTGCAAGTGGAGGTCAACCAGTGCCGTACATGGACGAGTATCAGGTGAATTTCGAGATAGCAGGCTATGATTAGGTTTTAACTTTGAGGGTGCTAATCAAACGGTCTGAGTATCGATGATTCACGGATCTGCTTAATTTCACGGTTTCTTTCTCTTGATCGATTGTGTAGCTATCATTTCAATTCGTATAACACTCGGTGGAACAGGGCCGTAATAACCAATGTCTAACCCTAGTACATATTAGCTGCGGTATAAATACGAGCTACGAGCATTGCTCGGATGCTTCTGTGCCCTCTGGTCTGTAAATATATCACGTCAACTGGGATCTTCAATGCCATGTAGCGTTACGTTACAAATTGCAGATATACGGGCGCTATTGTGGCGTCTAACAAGTCGACTCCAGTATAACTGGAAAGAAGAGGCCTCTTTCTTGTGTTGATTATGTCCGCAGCGGTCACGGGGATGGTTAGAAGGGTGTCAGATATTCAGAATCTTTCGTTCCTTTCGAACTACCAATTTCATCAGGCGAGTAGAATGAATCTAGCTGAGAAAGAGGATATCAACGCCGGACTATTTGCCGATAATCGGTATTCACATTTCAAATCAATCTGCTAAGTCTACCATATTTATGAGAATGCTGTGCGGCTATGAGACGGTCGACCATGTAAAGGCTCAATCAATACTGTGACAATGGCTACCGCAATCTTGCAACTGTGGCGTACTGAGTTTCGTTCCTCGTGCCGTAATTTTGGTACCGTCTAAGCTCTTTGTATTGCAATCAGAATACGCCATTCGCATATATCTGGAAAGAAGCAGAAGCAAAGTTCCGTTGGACGGAACGCCGTATGCATATGCTGTATATAGCGTCTCTGCTCGGAACCGAAGCCGGCTAGCTGCGGCGAGCGTCCTATGAGCTACGCATGTATCGATAAAACATCGATGCAAATACTTAGCATAGCTGCATAGAGCCCGATCGGCGGATATGCTAGTATAGTGGTAAATCCTGTAGGATGTCAATGCATAGCAAAAACAATATGCCACGTACCCGGGTTGAACGAGTGACCTTCGCATTAACATTGCATACAAGTGCGACGCGCTACCACTACGCCAACGCGGCTCTGCAGACACATTATCAAAGTAGCACCATATCGTCGCTGACATTTATATGAGCTGAACAGATTCCAGAAGAAAGCATAGTTATGCCTGTTGCTGACCGCATAGAACGCTCGAAAAGAGGACAGCCGCCACACATCATACACCATAACAATTGCCAGTATTACGATTTACGCTTTGGCAGCGTACTCGTCGTCGACCGCCGTCAAGAAAGTCAACATCTGATGTTCGCATCAGTATAAGGAACAGCACACGCCTGAATCAGTGTGTTGCGCTACTCACAAGCTGGTGTCGCTTCTCCGCTAACTGCTTGCCGATATCGGTCTTGAGCTGTTCGTGAATGTGCAACAGTTTGTCGTAGAAGTGCTGGATGGCCGTATTTGGTTGCATAGGGTCGCACACAGGGGCGTATAACGGTCTGAGACGGTGCACAAGTTATAGAGCAGAAGCAAACGAAGAAGTTATCCCTACCTGTTTACGGACGCACTATATGCGGCGCACCGCATAATACCTAGCGAAGAGCATCAAACCTGAATGCAAACGATGAGACATAGAATCAACGCTAACTACTCACCGAACGCCCCAATAGCATCTAACCGGTCTGCGTCCTGCACACAATGCAACTCGAGGCACTCGCGGTGCCAGGCCTCTATCCGCCCCGCCTCGCGCAGCTTCTTCTCCGTGCTCCACGACACGTTCGTCACGATCTTCGCGATCGCCGCCGCGCGCCCGTCTTCCACGAGATCGAGTCCGCTCGCCATCTTCGCCTCCTCAAAGAATGGCAGGAAGAACGCGTACGGGTCCGCGGCTTGCTCTGCCGAGACGTACTTTTTGTCGAGGACGTCGTGCAGGAGCGCGGCGAGCTCGACGGTGAGGAGGTCTGGGGGCCGTGCGTCTGGTGAAGGCGGCGAGTCGACGAGTGTGCGTGCGATGTGCAGTGCGGTTTTGCGCACGCGCTGGACTGGCAGGATGCGTTAGTTTATACTACGAATTGTTGGCAAATGTGCAACTCACCATGGAATGCATCGTGCGACGGGTCGTACCGCGCCATCGTCTCGACCATCAGCCTCTCCGCCGCGGCGACGACCTTGGCCTCGCTCTCAGTAGGGTAATTGCTCATGGCCATACCACTCCTGTCTGACTTTGATGGCTCGCGCGACGTGGAGGTCGTCAACAAAGAACACCAGCGCCCGCCAGCCTGAGAAACGAAAATTACATGCCAAGATGACCGCGGGGCGACAAGACGCGTTGCCCGCGCGCGTCGTCGATCGCCAGCGTGCCACGCGCGAGCGCTAAAGCGACCTGCCTCATACGACCGCCCACCATGGCGGACACACGACTCCGGACTCTTCTCCTGCTCCTGCTCCTCGTGTCGGCCGTGCTCGTTGCGGACGCGGGCGCGGAACCCCAGAAGACCCTCTCTGTGCTCGTGAGTCGCCTGCCTTTCCTGTTCTCGTGGCACGTGTAACGTGTCGCGTCACTGTGACCATGTATTGACTGACTGAATGCGATTCTTGGATTGAATGGTGGACTTCGGAATCCGGGATATTGGTCGATTGAATGCTTTATAACTTCGTGAATACTGCTGGCTATGTTTTGAAAATGGAAAACGGTATGCGCTCAATCATGCATACAAACTGCGGCGGTACAGGACACAGACATCGCGCAATGCGAGCCCGTCCAGCAGCTCAGTGTACTCAAGCACGAGCTTGAGGCAAACCAATCGCCCATCATGCGCACCGTGTTCAGCTTCCTCTTCCCCTTCGGGCCTGGCTGGAACTCAGGTGCGCTTGTCAGTCACTCGCGTCGTGCGTGCAGCAATTGACCGGCTGCTCCTGGACATTTAGTGCTCGGAACATTTTACATTAGCTCGTAAGTACCTACTCTTACCGTTACTTCATACCTGGTCGTAACGCCCCGCTCATCATTCGCCACCAGAGTGCCCAACTTCATCCTTGCGTTCATCCCCGCGGAGATCAACCACAACACTCTCAACACGATGACCGCCTTCGCCGTACGTCCCATTTAAACGACACTGACACGGACCGGTCTCGCTAACAATATCACCCCACGATTATGCGCACCAGACCGGCGGGCTGCTCTCGGACGTCTTCCTGCACCTCGTGCCGCACGCGTTCATGGGCGAGCACCAGGACGGCGGCGTGCACTTCGTCATGGTGCAGGAGAAGCGCAACATCCTCATCGGGTACGTATTGCTCTCGCTTCTCTGTCTCCCTTCAGTTCTCGCCTTCTATATTGCATATCAATACTCGTCTTCGCTTCCATCATCACTGCTTTATGATCATGAAAATACCTCTGACCCGCGGACACATGCACAGCCTCGGCATATTCGTCGGCTTCGGCTCGTTCTTCGTCATGGAGAAGACGCTGCGCGTCCTCGGAGGTGGCGGCGAGGACAGCGAGGGCCACTCGCACTCGCACTCGCATAGTCAGTCACAGACAAACGACGCACATGCGTCCGGAATCTCGACGACGTCCGCAAAAGGCGAGCTGAGGTCACGAGTCTCCAAGGCAGGGGAGGACGATTCCGGTAAGGACGAACACGAACACGAAGACGCGCAGAAAACGGGCCCCCAGCCGTCCAAGCTGTCCGCGTACCTAAACCTCTTCGGCGACTTTGTGCACAACATGTGAGCATCACGGGGGTGCTCTCCAACTGTATGTGTATCATGTATGCTGACTTTTGCGTTTGGACGACAGCACGGACGGCCTAGCGTGCGCCCGCTTCCTCTGACTGCCCGCATTCCCCTTCTCACACAGCTACTGTCCCATTGCCGTCCTCGTCTCATGACGTTCCCTATGCGGTGTATCACCTCTGGTTTCGCGCTTTACAGGATGGCCGCGTCGTTCTACTCGTCGCCGCTCATTGGCGCGACGACGACGCTCGCGTGCTTCGCGCACGAGATCCCACACGAGATCGCGGACTACTCGATACTCGTGCGGAGCGGGTTCACGAAGCGACAGGCGATGCAATCTCAGTTCATCACTGCCATCGGGGCCTTTGTGAGTCGCCCGCCATATGTATTGCTCCATGTCGCCTTCTGACCGCGAACCGTCCTACCCGTGTCTATGCGCAATGCACAATGCATACGTCTCCTTCTGCTTCTGCATTGACATTGACTCTGGCTTCTTGTGCTTCTGCGCGACCGTGTATGCGGCGTTAAAGATCGGGTGAGAACGTTGGCCCCCATTTCATTGTCCACACCGTCGACTGAATAGCTGGCTCTGGCAGCACGTTCATGGGGATCGCCATCCACAACCTATCCTCGTCCGGCGCAGCTGCAGCCGAGGCGACCGACCTCGCCGCTGCAGTGCGGCAGACCGCGGTGGGCATTCTGGGAACGACGGTGCAGCTGGCCGACCTGGTGCGCTTCTTCTTCTCGTCTGCGTTCTCACTCGGACTCACATTGTAACTCTCACTCTGCGTCGTGCGTGCAAACGTGCATCGACGCTTGCGCAGGTCATCCCATTCGTGGCGGGAGGGTTCATGTACATTGGCGCTGTGGCGGTGTTGCCGACGTGCGTGTTCGTGCTTAGGTGGTTCTGTGCGGTTCTCACCCTGGCGTATTTGGCAGGCTGCTGGAAGAAAGCAAGAGTGGGGTGCAGGCGCTGCGCGAGGTGGGTGTTCCCATTGAGCGTATACGGGCAAAGACAGCTAACACGGCGTGTAGTTTGCGGCAATGGCGTTTGGTGTGCTGTGTATGTTCCTTGTGGCGTAAGCACCTTTATCAGCTCGATCGGATCTCGGGGTGTTCATGCTGCTGGTGCACAGATGGAACGAGTAGACGCTGTTTGTGTTGGGACGACGCTAAGCGTAATAGAGTGGATACGGGGCTGATAGAGTCGTGTGACAGCAGCTTGTGGCGGGCGCCGTGTGGCTGGTGTCGTGGCGAGTGCTCGTGCGAGCTAGATCTCCAAACAAAACATGAGCGAGCGAGAGCGCAGCGGATGCGGCGCCGTGCGAGTCAAGCCACATACGTTGGCGCCTGGTTAGGGAAGGAGATCAAAGAGAAGTTGATGAGGGCGTGCTTCGCGATCTACCGTGTGTCGACGTCAGCAGCGAGCGAGTCTGTCTGCTCCTTGTTCTCTACTCGCACATTCTCGAGGATGTTTTCGCAAGCGACCTGGAAGAAATGCCAACGTAGACCCGGTGATGTTCTGTACACGCAGGGGTGGTGGTAAGGCGAAGTGGTGAGAGTAAGTAGCGGAGATGGATCAGGGCCGGGGCGGCGGAGGCCGAGGAACGTGCGCGGTGCAATTGGACGAGAGAGCGTCGCCGTAGTCGACGGCCTCTAACCGCGCAATCACGGCAGCGCTGCAAAAATCAGAGCCAGGGCGGGACCTTGCCCTCTCCCAGCCTCTGCAGGCCTCAGCCAGGTTGTGTTGCAGGTATAAACACCGGCCATATAAACACTGTACAAACCGACCCCTGTCCTTGTCCACTCGGTCGTGTGCCTTTTCCTCTCCAAACCGCCGGCTTTTTCCTCCGCGTGAGGCCAGTCCAGGATCCTTCCCGACTCCGTTGGCTCCGCAACGCTCTCCTCCGCTTCTTGTACTCGACTTCCATCAGGAACCCCTCACTCTATCCTATTCCTCTTCGTCCTCTCATTACACGCTCTTCCTCATCGTACTCGGCCTCTGCCCCGCCGCCACACACCGCAGCGACCACACACCCGCCCCTGAACATCATGAGCGGTAATAACAAGGGCCGGTCCACACCGCGCGTCGTCTGTTGCGCAATACCAATATCGCGCAGCGCTGGCAAAGTCCTCGTCATAACAAGTCGCAAACGGCCAGATAATTGGGTCTGTGAGTACGCCGCCTCTCTGTCGCACCCCCCTCGCACCCCGCGCCCGTCGCTCTCGCACGGAGCTGATTTTTTCGTCACGCGCCCAACCACCACTCGCACGACCGCAACCGTGTCCGCGCGCGCACAGTACCGAAAGGAGGTTTCGAGTCGTCTGACGGGGTGCTGGAAGCTGC